ACTTTTAAAATAAACTTTTTCATTTTTTAAAATATTATATTGTCATTTATAACATATGCTTTATTAGAGCAGTAACTTTGAGTGTTCCTTTGGTGCAAGATAGACAAACTGTGCAACAGAAAAAAAAATTAGTCCAGAAACAGACACTGCTACACAATCATTTAATACATGACATTTATGACAGTTCAGCAGAGCAATAAAAATAGTGATCCCTGCAAATGATGGTGCTGAATTAATTAGGTATTCTCATAGAGGAAAAACATGAAGTACATTTCCTTTATTTTTGTATGCCAGTTCTAGAAAGAATATAGAGAATTAAACAATTACTTTTTAAAAGAAATATAAATGTTTTTGTAATTTAGAGTTGACTAGAATTTCTTATTGAAGATATGAAAAACACTAGCCCTAATCATATGTATTTTTCTTTTCAAGAAATAATTAACTTCTATTTATGAATAGACATCATTAAGACAGAGGAAAGTCAAGACACAAAGTGAGAGAATATATTTGAACTGCAGTAATTTATATTATAAAGGATTTTATCTAGAATCTATAAATAACTAATAGAAATCAAAGTCATATAAATCAATATATAAAAGATAGAACATTCAATAGAAAAACAGGCTAAAATTTGAACGGGCATTTCACAGAAGAATATATCTAAATTGCCACTAAACATGAAAAGTTCCTCATATTCATTTGTCTTCAGAGGCTTTCAGATGAAAACCATAATATATCACTCTATACTAGAGGATGGTTAAATGGAAAAACAAAAACAAAACCGAATATAACAAGTTTTATAAGGCTGTAAAACCAATTTCACAGTCATAGCTCCTGGATGATATATAAATTCTGTCAATCATTTTTGAAAACTGACAGTTTTCTACTGCAATTGAACAAATGTATAACTTTGACCCATCAGTTCCATGTCCAGATATATACTCAAAAACTATGTGTATATGTTCACAAAAAGATATGAATAAAAATATACATAGCAAAAATATGTAAAATAACCAAAATTATAAACAATGAGACCCCTATTAGCTGCTGAATGGGTAAATACATCTTGGTATATTAATAAAATAAAATGCTACACAGACATAAAAATGAATCAACTACAGCCAGACACAAAAACATAGATGAGTTTCACAAACAAAATATTGAGGCAAAGATGCCGGACACAAAAGAGTGCACACTCTATAATATTTATAAAGTTTAAAGACAGTTTTTATAGTATCACAAATTAGGAGATTGGGTTAGTTAGGAAGTTGAGTGAGTTTTGATAGTATTATGAGAGAGGCATCTGAGGAGCTGGTACAGTTTCATGTTCTGAATTTGGCATTTTTACTCTATCAAAATTTGGTACATATATTTCATAAAATGTCATCCATGTTATACTATGCATAAATAGTAGCTATGCTAATATGAATAATTTCACAATACATTCATGATTTTGCCTCTGAGTTGTATATCACAACAGTCTTGTTAAAAATTTAAATACTTTTCTTGTGACTATATTAGTTATGTTATAATATTTTAGTTTGAATTTAAAACATCAGAATTATAAAAACATAAAATTATGTATTATATTTTCCATACACATTTCTCTTTCACAAATCATTTAGCCCATTAGTTTTTAAATATATATCCATCTTTTATAAAATATTATTTGATTGCTAAAAGAATAATTACCTGGGGGTGTATCTTTAATGCAAATATATTTTTTTCTTATTTGCATCTGTCTTACTGTTTGCCTTTCTGTTAATTCACATATTTTGTAGGCTCTTTTATTTGCCCATTTTAAATTTATATGTTGGCATAAAAACCTGGTTTTTTGAAATAATTCATACCTACTAAATACCAATAACCATATCATTAAACATCTTAAGAATTCTTTTTACAACATCCTGAAATAGTGACTGATAGGAGACTGACTGTATATAATCACATTTGTAAGTCATTTGATAAACTCCATAAATGGAAGTATAATTTATATATGCAGTTTGATTTAAATTATTGATAAGGTAAACAACTAATAGAATAAATATTACAGTAGTAATAAAGAGTCTTCTATTCTTTTTCCTCCATTTAATTAAATCTGAGTGGATTTTTTATAATAAAAGAAAAATTAAGGAAACCTAGGGATGGCTTACTCTTTTTCACTTAGTTATAAATTATAGCTATATATTAATTTCAGGTTAACCTCAAAGTGACCACCTGGAGATAAGAATTATACAACCATGGGGCACCTGGGTGGCTTAGTTGGTTAAGCATCCACTCTTGGTTTCAGTTCAGGTCATGATTTCAGGGTTAGGAGATGGGGTCTCGCATCACGCTCCACACTCAGTGCAGAGTCTGCTAGAGATTCTCTCTCCCTCTCCCTCTGCTCCTCCTCCCACTCACGCACTCTCTCTCTCTCTCAAATAAATAAATAAGTAAAATCTCTTAAAAAAAGAATTATACAACCATCAATTGGTGTTATATTTCCACCTCACTTATCACTTACATTTAGTCATACTACATCAAAAAGTAATCATGGAAAATAGGTGATACCAGGTATATAGAAAGAAAATATCTGTATTATCTTATTAAAGACATATTATGTCCATACTATACCATGGCATCTATTGGTGTCATTTTCATGGTGGACATGTCATGACTTATAGTACAGAACATAGGATTTTCTCAGAGTCTTTTCTTTTGCTTTCAATGAGAAATATACTTTTTATGTATGCTATGATAAGATGGCTATAATAATTAGCTCTAATTATAGGTCAATGGGCAAATTCCATCACAGGTAATTTAGATAAAGCAGATAGGAAGAAATCATTATAGTTTATTAGCACCAAGATTATTCATTTACAGAGTACACAAAATGAATAGGAACATACTTAGAAGAAATCATGTCAATTTATCATTTTTATTTTTTTCTTGAATGCTTTGTGCCAGATGAAAAACAAGAATTTACTTGAAACTCCATTGCAAAATTCGAGGTTCTTATTTTCAATATTGTTTTTAGACTGTAAAAGCTACATTGTAACTTTTTCATGATTTTGTCATTATAACCATGAAGTTATATTTGAATGTTTCTTTAATGTTTACTCTTTGCACCTTAATATCAATATTGACATTAATTTTAGATTTCTCTTTTTCTTGTAAATAACATATGTGTTATAAATTAACTCTAAGTAATGCTTTATAATATTGTCAAAGTATGCAACCTTCACACTCAGTTGCTCCAGTCACGGGCACAATATAAATCCTGGAGCAATTCCAAAGAGTAAAATGTAGGAAAAGCGCATTTCTGATTTAGTTCTGCAGAAACTGCCCTTTTTTGAGCTGTTTATGTAGAAAGTTTCTATTGTCAAGGCAATTAAAAAAAATGTGGAACATTTCACAAATTGTGTGTCATCCTTGTGCAGGGACCATACTAATCTCTGCACTGTGCCAATTTTAGTATATGTGCTGCCAAAGTGAGCACCATTGTGGCAATTTTTTGTAGAGAAGATAAAAATAATAGTGAGATTTTCATTATTGTTTACTCAAGGATCACATAAGAATTCCTGTCTGATTTGAGCTCCCTATATAACAAAAAATAAACCCCAACCTCACCCTGGCTAAGTGACTAAACTAAGTAGAGTGTCACCTATTTCAAATGCAGATGTGTAAACTTAAACTTCCTCTTAAACAAGCAACCATTCATCAGCTACATGCTGCAAAAATGTTAATATGTTCTAAGATTTATACAAATTTTATAATCAGATACATTGGTGACAGAGTAGAAAGGTAAAAATGCATATTCTGAAAGGTTTGGGGATAATAGTGAGACAGCATTTACAGCAAATATCAAATGTATTTAAAAGTGCATTTTTTTTTAATTCAAAAGAGTCTTGCCTCCTGCCTCATATTATGTATTAATAAATGTACTAAATAATAAAAACACCCCAAAAAATTTTTTTCCCAAAAAAACTACTAATAACTTTTTCCAGTAAAAGGCTATATAATAAAGATATTTGGTTTTGCCAGCCACATGATTTCTCTTCAATAGAGGGAGAAGTATCGCAGTTGATATGTAAACAGGTGAGCATGGTTGTATTTCAATAAAACTTTATTTACAAAGTAATACGTCATAGTCATATCTGTTCTTATCTTCCACACCCAATCTTTCTTTTAATGCTCTTTCCAACATACTCCCAAATTTCCTATTTCTCGAAGTAGGGAATTTTTAGCACATGCTTCAGAATCAGGGCTGTTTGTTAAACAACGTAGCCTGCTGATTTCAAACTTTCTGTTCCCAGCCTGGGGATCTGCATCTAAGGGGATTCCTCCAGGAAAAGATTTTATTTATTGATTTGAGTGAGGGCAGGGGGAGAGGAAGAGAGAGTCCCAAGCAGATGCTGCAATGAGCACAGAGCTGGATGCAGGTCTCCATCTCACCTCCCTGAGATCACAACCTGAGCCAAAACCAAGAGTCAAAATCTCAACTGACTGTGCCACCCAGGCGCCCCAATGCAAGCTATTTCTTAGTCATGTTTATGGTTATCTGCTATTGGAAAATAAGATGTCAGTCCTATTAATTGGGAGTTTTTCTGCTGCTAAATAACGTTAAAGTCTTCTAACGCTGTAGCCAAATTATGGAAACAGCCCAGGTGTCCAGCCACTGATGAACGGTAAAGACAATGTGAATTTCAACTCTTGATTTGTTAAGGAAGAGTGAGTTTTTCATTATGATTTTGGTTGTGTCAAAATCCCCACTTCTACCGTAAAATTAATTTCATGCAGTATTATATTATTTTATCTTCTTGTTATACTGTGCTTTATATATATATATATATTTTAATCTTCCCAAGATAACCAGTTTTTTTCTTGAAATAATCTTTGCATAAATGTTAATATTCCTCTTTTTGCTTTTTGTATGGTAGCATTGTTTTATATATCCTGGTTCATTCCATTATTTTCAACTGTTTGTGATATTTAATATTAACTTAACACTCATGTTT